TGGATACCTGGGGGAACAGAGCAGGGTCAGTCAGCCCCCAGACTGTGCTTGGTGACTGTGTGTGGAACAAGAAAAGGCAGAGCACGTTCTCCATCTCTGGGACCTAAAATTAAGTTCAGGGATCAAAAAGTGACCCAGATGCAGCTGAAGAGAGGCAGACCTTGCACAGAAAAGAAAGGGAAGCAACATGCTGCTGCAGGTTCCTTTCTTCTGCAGAACCCAGCTGTATCAGCAGGGTAACACTTGGGAAAAAAAGGAAATTCTTCAAAAAATGGAGTTCTTTAATATCACCCCCAGTCACTAAATCAATCTCTGCAATTGGGAATGCACGCTCACTGTGGTTAGGTGCCCACGTAGATAGAGGCATGCTTTTCCCACTTGGGCTGGCCAAAAGGATATGACCTATTGGCATAGTGATATGTTGAGAGGTCTTTACGTCCTTAACTGTTAGCCTTAACACCCACACTAACTATCCATTAGGCTGCTCACACAGATAAAACCTCCAGCTGTTCCTCAAACCAACAGCTCATCAACAGAAGCCAGCATGGGCACTGCAGACAAATGCTCTGCTTTGGTGTTAGCTCCCTGTTGACTACATGAGCTCAAGGCTCCTTTCTGACCATCAGGGCTCACATGAGGTGTGGCCACAGCTGGAAGGGAGGTGATTTTCTTCCCCAAGCTCTGAATTTTCACACCATTTACATTGCTCTCAAACCCCATGCTAGCTAGTGGCAGGCTCACTGTGTGGATACAGAGATGGTCCAAGGCAAAGAAGTGTCTATTGCCATTGCTGCTCCTGTGATTGTGAAAGGGTTGTGGCAGAGCTCTATCTGAACTGATTTTGCTACTACTGTACTAATACTAGTTTGCACATTCATTACTTTGCCCATTTCAAACTAAAACTTCATTGAGCTGAATCTTAACAAACTGATATATTCTGAATGGATTTTGTTATTGTTGCCTTTTTTTTTTTCCCTGGCCATTAAGATTCATTTTCTGGAGTCATCAACTGCTTTTTTTTTTTTTTTTTTTTTTTTTTTTTTTTTTTTTCCCATCTGCTCATACTGTACTAGGATTCTGGGACTTTTCTCAGGGTGTGAGATAATTTCTGCAGATGGGAGTGCATTTTCCACCGTTTTGATTTTTCCCCAGTGGAGCTTCATGTTCAGAGCTTTCCCACTGGTGGGAAAAAAATGACAATTGCACTGGTTTTGATTAAAGATTTTCCATATTACAAAAACTTCTCAAACCACACAATTTTCAAGACCATGTTGCTAGCTAGAGTCAGTAGCAGTTTTTTTTTCTAGGAGGTTCTTCAAGGCTTTCCCTGTCTACAAAGACTCCATTCTCTGAAGCAATGAAAGACTTTTTTAAGAACAAATCTTGTGCAATTTTGAGTCACAGGGAGAAAATACACTTGCCTGTGGTTTGAGAGAAAGTAACATTCCCATCTCATTGCTGTTAAAAGGAGCAGACACTAGACACTAATGAGACTTTTAGGGGGCAAGTCCAGTCTCCTGTGACCTCTGGTAACCACTTCACATGAGATCTTTAGCTCATGCATTAGCTATGTTGTCATATCACAGGTTCAGAGTTTCATTAACTCACTTCTGTGAAGGCAAGCAAACCCCCTCCTCTAATTTCCAGCCAAAGTGTACTTGGTCATCTTATTCCCGCTTGATCTTATGCCTAAATTGTCCTCGCCTTTCAGTAGCTGTTCTCTCTTGCCAGTTTTTGTTCCCTCCTGTATTTGTACATGCACAGGCATGTATGTATCTGCTCCAGTCCTATTGCCTCTTACTGCTGCTTGGTGCTGTGTGTTCTCCTTGTCTGCATGTTGATAGACTTTATTTTAGCTTTCAGGTCATAAATTCAGGTTGGTATCACTTACGTCTAGAAAAATGCTCCTTTTTGCCCAACTCTGCATTCGTTTTCTAACATAAATTAAATAGCTACTAAGTATTTCATTCAGTTCTCTGCTTCTATTTCTGGGAATTTGTCTTCCAGATCTCTAATTTCTACTTTGAGTTTTCAGCATCTCTGACACTAGAGTTGCTAGGCACTGTATTTGGAGTAGATTGTGCTCAGGGTGAGACTCTCTTTAGGTGTAGGACATCCTCAGCAGTCTCTAAGAGAGGTCCTGTTTCCCATTTTTGCCACACACCACAGTTAGCAATTTTCTGGTTCAGAATTTAGTTCAAATAAGAGCTAAATGTCACAGAGGCATTTCTTTGGGGTCACAGTGCAAGAGTCCGGGCTCTGTTGATAGCACTGGGGCTCTAAGACTGAAAAAATAAACCTTTATTTTTATTATTTATTTATTATTTTTTATATTCTCGCCTAGAGAGGCCCAGTGGCGTCTCTAGGACATGCTCATATCTCTTTCCAGCAAGAGAATCCTGATCCAGCAGGTGACACCAGAGCCTGAGACAGGAGGGAGGGATGGAGAAAAGGGTGGTGCCACTCAGCATCTTGCCACTCGGTGCACTGGAAGAGGAATAACTACTCCCCATGCCATCCCATGCAGCTAGCTGCTGGGCTCTTGGAGGGCTTCCTCAGGTGAAACATCTCCATTGATATCTGGGACATCAGACAAAAGACCCTTAGTTGTTCAATAAGGCTTGTCATCCTAAAGTTACAGAAAACCAAGAAGGCTCAGTCTTCATATACTTACCCCTTTTGGAGGAACATGGATGCTAAAGAAAGGGTCAGCCTCTTTTTTGGTGTTAAACGCAACATTTCAGTACAGAAATGCTTGCAAATTTACCATTTTTACTCAAGAGCTTAAAGATTTATATGGTGCATGTGAAGGAGGGGAAAGAATTTTAATGGAAGTGTGAAATTGCTTTAATAAGGGAAAAACTGATAGGGCAATTGAGGGGGAATTATGTTTGAGATGAAGACTAATGTTAGGAGACCACCTATGGCTCATGTAAAGCTCCCAGGAATCTCAGCCATAGCCCAAGACTCTCATTCTGTTAAAGCGGTGTGAACCTAAAGAGCCAGGGGGGATGTATATAGAAAAGTAACGCTGGTAGAAGTCTGCAGACCTGTTACCAGGCCTTTGATATAAATCTGATCTAATAAATCTAATAAAGCATGCAATTATGCTTCTTTAGTGTAAGCTTTTACCTTAAGTTAGGCCAAAAAGTAATTTCAGGGGAAGAAGAATTGAGGCAAATACTCATAGGAGGAAATCCATAGAAGTAGTGAACTTTTCACCTCTAACAGCTAGAAATGACCATGGGGTAGAAGATCAGATGGTTCACTTAACTGCCGAGTAACGAAATTAGGCTAAAAGTTAGATCTAGTCTGCCCAGAGGCAACATGACAAATTAGATTCATCCACTCACCATATTTGTATTAATGCACTTTTGTATCGTGAACAGATTATAAGAGAAGGCTTTGCCCCAAGGCAGGGTTTTCTGGCACCGCACTCATTTTCAAGCTGAGGTTCTCCCCTGAGGGCACCACGAGACCCTCACTTCTTAGCAGCTTAGGATGTGATCCTCAGCAAAGATTTGCCACTAACCTGTGAACAGCTCTTAGCACTTTAAAGCTTAACTAATTATAATAATGCTAATAACAGATTTATTTCTGTAAGGTCACAAGAACTGTAAAATCTCGTGATATATTTTAATAGTAGTGTAATATTTAGTTAGCATCTTTCTAAAGTCATATAGTGTGTGTTCCATTGCTAATATTTAAAAAAAAAAAAAAAAGTATGTCAATACTTTCAAAAAATAAATAAATAGTTGTTTAAAAATGAATTCTCAGTGACATGCTCTGTAAACCCATACTGGGTCCCAGTCCTGGCTGGGAGTCTGAAGGGAGCCCTGTGGACTGGCCACCTCTCTTCATGATGTGGCTGCAGTCCTGTAAAAGGGTTGTACCCCAGGAGAGGTGGGACACTTCATGTCCGTTCCTAAATGTGAGGTTTTTTCCACACGAGACTTTGCGTTGCAGCTGCAGCGGCGTGGCATCCCTCTAACCTGGGAGGGAGCTGCGCATCGCGAACTCGTTGCTTTTCCCTCTGACGATGAAAGACTTTTAAAATTAATTGCATGACATTCTGGCTTGTCTGTGTTGTCAGCTTTGATTTTGCTGTGACAAAATGATGGCCGCTGCCTGTCACAGGGAGTGACACCCCATCTGTGAGCACCGCACTCATCAAGTGGCAGCAGCGAGTTAAAGCCTGGCTGCGATCTGCATTGAAAGCAGTTTCGCGGAGCACCGCGTGGAGGGAGAGGCAACTGTGGACGTTGTCCTCTTGCAGAGGAGCCCGGCCATCGGCCATCGCTTGCTCCTTCCCAGGGGACAGCTGGTGGCAGCCCTGCTGTGGCACTCTCACGGCCACAAGCCCCAGCGATCTTCACCGGGCAGCCAACGCTGCTCAACCCGTCACTGCAATTAGCACAAATTACCCGGGGCTGTATTTTCCAGAGCTGCCATGTTGAGCATTCAGCACACACCCACCAGATCTAAAAGCAGTGATGTTAAAAGAGCAGCCTCGCTGCGCCGGCAGGGCTGGAGGGGGAAGGTGGGAGCAGGAACCGCAGCACGAGTCGAGCCCGGCTTTCCTTTAGAGGGCAGTGGTGCTCATTGTACAAGGACTGCATTTACAAGGAGGCGAAATGTTACCAGCCGGGGTCAGCGGGCACCGAAGCAACAGCAACTCGCAGAAAACGGCACCGAAGTGCCAACGAAGGAGAGCGTTTTGCTGTGATCCACTCCGTGGACTGCTCTGCGCAGGGGCTCATTAGTTTCCCCTTGTTTTTGTTCGCACTAATCAGCAATCAGACAAGTAATTACGGTTCCACAGAGAGGCTTCCTTTCTCCTGCCACGTCAAGAGCTCAGCCCAGGGTGAAGCGCTCCCGACTGTCAATATTTGCCAATTCATCTGCAGCCCCTTTCCGAGCCAGACGAGCCCTTCCTGCCCGATTTACACCCAACCTCTAAGGCAAGCCAAAACCCAAGCAATTTTCGAAGCTGCACTAACCTTTTCATGGGTTTGGGTGAGGCCTCCCGCTCCAGGTTGGAGGACGTGTGCTTCACGTGCATGGCGTTGTAGGAAGTGTGGGTGTACTCGTTCTCGTCACTGTAGTCAGGGCCCAGCAGCGTTCGAGCCCACGTCCCCATGTCGTATGGGGGAAGGGTCCCCCCAAATTCAGAGGGCAGGCATTCAGGGTGTATTAGCTGGTGAAGGCTGTTCAGGTTGTTGCCATGAAGAAAGATCTTTAAGAAATAAAAATAAAGTTCAGAGTTATCATCTCTTTCTTGCTTCAGTAAGTACGGTGATAACGGCACTAGTGAAACATGGGGTGTCATTACTTGACACCACAGTTTCAGGCAGGGGCTTCTGGAGCACCCAATGCTCATTGGGAGGAGAGTGATCAGCTTTTGTACATGTAGCCAAAGAGTTAGGCTGACACCATAAACACTTGTGAAAAGCCTGATTTGAATGCTTTTGGAACAGCACCGTCATTTTCTTAAGTACCAGAGTGGGGAAAGTGCAAGTTGGGAATAATAACCACCTATTGTTACTGTGAGAGGAGGGAACCTTGTACAAAAGCAGTGGGAAGAACACAGTGATAGCGGGGCTTACTGAAAGAAAATGTGAAGAATAGGTCCTCAGCTTTTGAGGGGTAACCCAGCCCTGCACCCGGGGACTGATGTTTCACAGTGTGAGGCCACTTTGTGCTGCTTTAGCAACATGGGGCTCTCTGATCCCTCTTTGCTTTCTGACTGGCATTACCCATATCCTCTGTCAGACACAACCCAGGGCAGGGAATGGGACCCTCTGAGAGACGATCCAGTGGTGGTTTCATGAGCTTCACGGACAAAAAGGTAATGTGACTGCAGGACAACAGTTCATATGGGTTTCAGTGGGGAAGACCTGCTTTTTCTGCAGCTTGGGCAAACAGGCTACAGGCAGGGACATTTTTGGTGCAAATAAGTGAGTTAGCATCATGTGAAAAAAGTCAAATTGCTAAAAAAGCAAAATGGGAATGTTTACTCCCACAAAAAGTGTTAAAGCGTTGAGCAGAAGTTTCCCCCTCTGCAGATGGCTCTAGCCAGGCCTGATAATCCCTCTATCTCACCTCTATCCCTGAGCATGTCCCCTTAGAAAGGATCTACGCTTTGTTAGTGATAACAACTCTTTGGTCTCTTGTTATCGATCCAACCCAGATCATTGAAAACTGTAAGTCTTGGTAACAGCTGCCGTTCTTTGCTGCCATATGAAAAATGCAGAGGAAAAGCAGGGGACTGCTCCTTTCCTCTGGACCTCCAGCCTCCCACCTCCACCAGCCCCTTCTAATTACCCTTTTCCTTGTCTTGTCTTTGAGGAATGGTTTGATTAGCGTGTACAGGGCATGGATGTACCAGGGCTGGTTGACAAAATGGACTCCTCCAAAGCGGGCAGGAAAGCTGTCCTACAGAAAGAAAGAAATGGAAGCCAGTTAATAGATGCAGTGCTTTAGCCAGGTAGTCAATAGAATGAAAGTCAGAGGAAGAAGTCTGTCTCTCTCCATCTGCAACAGCAACCGAGTGCTGGGCTTGCTGGGAGGGGGCAGGAGGGAGATGGGAAGAGGAAGAAGCCCAGAAACATTTGCATCAGTTTCTGCTCTTAGCAGACAGTCCCTTCTCCCTTCCACGCGCTACCGCATCAATTGCTGATGATTTAAAGCAGGCTCTCCAGACGCTTTGCCTGAACGCTTTTTTCACTCCATCAGGGCATCCATCCGACTTTGCTGGGATGGGAAGCGAGGCTGGGCTGATGAGCGCGGCTCCCTCGAGGGGGAAGCTTTCTAATTTCTCATTGTGGTGTGCAAGGCGAGCCCCCGGTTCCCACGCACAGTGCCGCACGCAGCTCACCTCTTCACCCTGCTGCCTCCCTGCCTCCCTCCTGCTAAAATCATCATTACAATGGCTGACCTTTCGGGGTGAGCGCACAGCGTACTCCAGGGAGGAGGATGGGTGGGAAAGGCTGATAAGTGGAGGTGTAGCGGGAGCGCACCACGACGGCTCCATGGAAACTGGCAGAGCCGAGCGCTGGCTGCGAGGCTGTGCACAAACCCCCTCTTGCATTAAGATGCAGGTGGCGTCCTGCCGGGGAGGTGTTTGCAGAAGCAGCTCGGGCGGCGTGGCACGCTTAATAGAAGAGGAGGTTGCTGGCGCGCCTTGAAAGGTTGCCGAGTATTGCGACAGGCGTTTTGTATCCATGCTCTCATCTAGCAAATGTCAGTCAGGGGAGAGCCTGGGGTCTTTGACTTGCATGAACAGCGGGACGGATGTCTGCTGCTCCTGTGTGCAAGCACACTTCCAGAGAGAGGAGAGGTGCCTGGCTCTGCCTGGCGAAGAGAGGTCCTAACAGGGCCTTCCTCCTCCTGCTTGTGCTCCTAAGCCCCAGAGCTCAGCAGAGAAGGCAGAGCACAACCAGGTCTCTTCCTGCAGGGCTTTGACTTCAGGCAGGTTCATTCCCCCACAATTAGTGCTGGGTGTCCCAGGGCTTTCTCTCAGCTTTATCTGGAGCATCAGAGACAGCACAGCTGGTGGGGGTATGGGGTAGATTTGTGACACAATATGGAAAATCCCCTTATACACCTGCTCAGTGTAGATTCTGCACAGCTTCAAGGTCAAATTATTTCACCAGTTTAGCACTCTGTAGTCACCCTACCATTTCCTGCCTATCACCCATAGTAGATACAAAGGACAATTTGTATTCTTCAGGCACTGGCCATGGATTGCCCTAGAAGTCATACCAAAACATATCTTATTAATGTTTGTGAGGGACCACATGCATCAAGTGATACTCTTTTCTTTAGCAATACAGAAGTATAAACCTCGTACACCTCACATGAGTCAGTTTAGCTGAGATCATTACAAATCTCAATACTGGATTCGATGTGCAAAGCCAGTGGGTAGTCAGGCCAGAACACAGGAGCCCTCTCAAGGAGAACACATATTCCTTGGAGGTGTTCATTCACTGTGAAGATGACTGTATTTCCATGCTGCTGGGATAATAGATAAAATTTTGCGATGTAGCTCTGACTGATCTACTGGATCGCTGCAGGTTGCAGTGACTTCAGCAGGGCTGTCCTGAGAAACAGCAGTGGAGAATCAGGCCTTTATTCTGAGCCCACCTAGTAAAAGCATCAGCCTTCAGACATGTGAAGTGAAGCCAAAAGGAGCTTCCTACCCCATGATAACCCAAAAGTGATTTAGACAAGACCAGAGACAAAAATTTCCGTCTCATGCAAAGCTCACATATTCAGTTGCTTTCCTCCCACACAGGAATGAAAATCTGAAGATTTGAAACTTTTCATAGAATACTTTTAACAGGAAAAAAAAAAAAAAAAAAAAAAAAAAAAAAAAAAAGCAATATCAGGATGTTCTCTTTATATTATTATTATCTTTCTATATTTGTCAAAGCAGCTGCCATCCCACAAGCCATAGCCCTAAAGGAGTTCTTGGACTCATTGGCTCTTTGGGACTGACCTGCCACAGCAGTCCCGAGTTGCACTATAACAGTACAGGTTGATGTAGTAGTCATATAGGTCAATAAGAGAGTGAAGTAAGGCACACTAAAGAAGTACGAGATAGGAGGCATGGGAATGACTTCAAGACACAGAGAATTATATTGACTTGAAAAATAAAAGAAAAGTTGTTTTTCTTTCTCATTAGAGTATACAGATTATATCAATCACAATCTTCAGTGAGAAATGTCAGGCTTAACGTCCAAAAGGAAACACTGGGAAACACTTTTCTTTCTTTTTTTTTTTTTTTTTTTACAAATATGTTTACCAGCCTTAATGATACCACCTTACCCAAAAAGGTCTGAATGTTGGCATGCTGAGAATTAAGCAACCAGCTGGAGTTTTGAATTGGCAGACTGCCTCTGGAAAGGGTTGAATAAAGAGGAGAATGTACTGTCCTACACAGAAAATGAATTTTATGTCCACCCCACATAGACTGTCAAGTCCATAAACTAGGTTCTGTCTGGCACATCAGCAGATAGACTTACAGGAAGGTCTCACATAACATTATTGTTGCATTATTTTAAGGCAGCGGCTGTCTTTTCATTCTAATGATACACCAAAGAATACACAAAGATCTTTGAAAAGACAGTGTGATTATCAAGAAATAATAATAATAATAAAAACATTTTTTGTGTGTTTAACTTTCTGCTATTTTTGTTCCTTGCACTGTTAAGCACAATAAGCTCAATTTGACTTTTATCTCTCAGTCCACCTGCATTTGTAAGGCTGTCAATTAGAAGACAAAAACATACATTTTTTTAAAAACCAAAGAAATTTGATATGGGAATCATCCAGACAGTTTGGAGCTGCAGCATTCCAATTTTGCAGAAGTCCCTAATTAGCGCAGAGCTGTCTTGGAAAGAAAAGCTCTCGTCTGGAGGTCTGTCTTGTGCAGCTCTAGGAAGATGTATGAGACCTTTCCCACACCCCACTTAGTGTCTCTGCTGCTTTCCCTGGGGCTAGGTGAAAGTAGCTGAAATTGATTTTCTGCTGGAGAGCTTTTGCTTTTAGGAATTCTCTTTTGATTTCTCCTGTCTCGTGATTCCTTGGGAAGGTGTATTTTATAATGAGGTGTATTTTCTGGAGCCTACTGTGAAAAGGACCCTGGGATCACGGAGCCTTTTCTTAACCCAATTCCTTGTTAAAAATACCCAATTGTGAAGATATATTTACATGTTATGCCAAAGATATAAATAAAATATGGCATGCTGGAACAAGCCTAATGATTTGTGTAGACTACTGCCATTTTATCTGAAAACCAGGCTGGACATAACTTCATGTCACTCAGAGATGCAATTACAGTGTGAATAAACACATCCAGCCCAGTGGTAATCTGGCTAGCTTGCTACTCAGCAGTAGCAGGTAAGAAACAGTAAAAGGACAGCAGATACTTACTTGGGCAGCTAGCTCACCCCAGAGTCAAACCAGGTCTTCTTCATTTCATTGGGACCCAAAGTCAACTAAAACAAGGAATACATCTGACCTTGCAGAAGTGACACCTTTCCTAAATAACACGGGCAAACCTAGAGAGACAAAATTGTCCCGGCACAGGGGTTTTAATTGTTCCCATTGATCAAATGAAACTGGTGCTTTAGGTAGGACTTATTTGCCTTATTTGCCTTTTTTAAAACAAACATACAAACAAACAAAAAGCAACCTCCTTTCAGTGATTTCCTTCCACATCATCCCCAAAGAAGAGAAAGCGGTTAACACTTGAGTGCTAGAGCTGACCTGCCACAGACACCCAAACATCCATACAAGCTTCAATACATCTTTTGTTTCAGGTTGGAAAAGTGTCTCCAAGCTTGCAGAACAGAAGAAAATGTGGAGATCATTGATTCTCTTTTCGTCTCAGACCTCCTGTGCTAGGAAATTTCTGAACTGAAATGAGCCTAAGACTGAAAATCTTCTGTACAAAATGTTCTGCTAAATAGCTTGGGAGTGATAGCTATGAGGTGAACGAGAGACAATTTTTTACTATTTAAGCCTGTTCTTGCCTTCATGACATCTATTTCTTTTGGCAGGAGTACACATCAGAAATCTTTTACTGCTTTGTTGTTCTGAACTGCTTGACTCGGAAAGCTAAAAATCAAGATGATCTTCTAACATCTCATTACACCAAAGTGTGGCAGAGGAGTAAAACAGTCTTTGGAATATCAAAATTAGGAATAAATATAGCCTGATACAAATCCAGCTAATCTTTTCAAACTGTGTGAATTGTCTCCATAGACCAATGACCTAAGCTCAAAAAAACAAGTTATAGCATATTTCAAGCTTTGGAACATTTGAATTTTGTGACACAAATGTTTTTAAGCTGCTTTCATAGCCTCAACCCTTTGCAATCAGATAAGCAAACACACGTCTTGCCATCCAAATGCATTTCTTTAATCTAGACCAGACTCACCAGTTTAATGCAAATCAAAATATAATCCCCTTTGAATGAAAATAGTTTCTTTTAGATTCAGGCAGATTTCAATCATAAACAAAACTGTTTAAACTGAAAGGTCATTCAAACTGAGGCTAAAAACAGCATCCTCATGCCTGTGTGCTTACATAATCAGTCCCTGCAGTGGATTAAAGCTTCCACAGACCATATTAATAGTTCTGGAAGATTTTATTAATAGTTCAGTGATAGTTTCTCCCCAGAGAATTTCTGTGAGTGGATGATTTTAATGGACTGGCACAATAAAGAGGGAAGACTTTCAGCTCTCCAACCCTGGGTCCAAATCTAGCCTCGGAAACAGTGGTGGTGATGGAAAGTTGTTGTTCTCTGATTTTATAACTTTGCCAGGTATTGGATGGGCTGTGTCTATTAAAAAGATCTTCCTGAGCATGTCTGAATGAGTGCCCAGTAATACCCTTGGTGCGGACAGAGCAGGTTGTCTTACAATGCA